AAGCGAAGACCTTCCTGGTTTTCCCACAGGGTAAAGGAAAAAGATGAAGTGGTTTATTCAAACAATTAAAATCTGTTACTAAACCAGAAAGCTACATCATGAAAAGTACAGGTACTTTCAGAGTTCCAACTTCCATTACTCAGCTAAGGAAGAGCTGGAAATTGTACATAACCACACAAAATCATCTATGGTTTCCACTCAGGTCACTTGTCTACGGTACTCTTGAGATATACATGAACACTTAAAGCCTGAGTGCCTGCATCTGTCACAAGAGGTGCACGTAATCAGGGGAACCTGCATTGCCATGAGAAGAGAGTGTTCGTATCACATCTGTAGGATAGGTTACCTCTGTGTGTTTGGGAGAGGGGGGTCCTGCAGGGGTGGGGGCTAGATCTTTTTCAAATCAAGTATACAAAATGGCACAGAAATTGGTGAGTGTTCATCTGTTGTATATCTAGTATGGATCCTGCATCTATAGTTCAGTGACTGCCAGTTATTAAGTGCCATTAATATATGATTGCCAGTTAATTATGTGTCACTAATAAATCAATAAAATACTTCAATCCTGATTTTAAGCTACACAAACTGAGCAGTTTCTCCCTTGCAACAGGTCGTTCTTGCTCTAGACTCTGAACTCAAAGGAAAGGGAAGGAGAAACTTAAATATATCCAAGAAAAATATTTAATGAAGAAGGGGGTTTTGTAGGTTGTCAGGTTTTTAATTTTCCCTGGTACTGCAGATCAGAACACTACATACTGAGCAAATCTACAGACAAAGAGCACGAAATTAAACACAATTTCTGGAAGAAGTTTCTTCCATCCTTGGATCTACAGTCCAAGACAGAAAAACCTATTCTCAGAACAAACTGGGAGAAATTTACTGATTGAAGATAGAGCATTAATTAGATTTTGAGAGACCTTTGTAGCCTCTGTAATTTTTTGAGCTACCAACTTGACCATTCTACTTTTGTACACTAAAATTTTGCACATCAGATAATTGCTTTCAATTGTGAAGGGCAAAAAACCCCTCTCTTAGCCTTGTATCATTCAATTTGTTCCTTTCCATACTTGCAGAACAGTTTTTTCATCAGAAAATAAAAGAACAAAGCTGATATCTGAAGAGTGGCAGTTTAGTCAAACTCTTAATCTCCATCCTACAAAGGGCATCTAATGTAAACGTACTTAAAACATTTTTAAAAGAGAACTGAAAACTTTTTCTCTAAGGAGTGGGGAAGTAGAAGAAAATTCCATCTGTCTTGACTCTCAAAAGCACTTTTTCCCATAGCAGAATTGATTTCTCTATTTTTGAAACATCTCTAGGGTGTTTTGAAAATAGAAACAAATACAGAAATAGAGAAAACCAGAGAAAATAGAGAAAAATGCCACAATCAAAACTGTTCTTTCTAAAATCCCTCCTGTTCTATTACAATTCTGTCTTAGGCATGCTGAATAGGCACATACCTCAGTTTTACAAGTAGACAGCCAAAAAAATTTGCAAAAGACTGTTGGCAAGTTCTTCTGAACTGGATACATTTTTTAAAGGGCCCTGTGTTAAAGAGAGTAAGGTTTTTTAAAAATTTTTGCTAAGCTATTGCTAAATTCAGAAGAATCTCTTCAAAACTGGAGTTTACAGACATGTGATGGGATACAGAAAGGCAGCTCCTTATCTGGATCTGCTCTATTTTGTATCTCAGACTTAATAATAAACCAGCATGGGAAACAACATGAGGGAAAAAAGCGTTGGTCTGCTTCTACCAGAAGTTTTGATAAATAACTATCACCCTTCATTCTCCAGATCTTAGAGTGACAGGAGATGCACAAAGAAAAATCAAGCAATCTCGCTCACAATGAAGCAATGGAGAATTTCTCCTTTCTGAGCTTTGGATGCTGTGATTCAGCAGCATGCCTATGTGCAAGAGACTCCCCTGTCAGAGTTAATTTTTAAAATATCCTCATGTTTGCTAAGATCTGTATCATGCTGGAAATTATTATTTCCAAAGGAAACATATCTAGAAGAAATGTCAAAATTGCCAGTGGGGCAATGCGGCCTGGTGGATGCCCTGAAAATGCAGGATATGTGCAGCTAATTGAAATGGAAATCACTTCTTCCCATCTTCTAAAAACCAAAAATCTCCTCAATTCCAAGGGTAGTTGAAAGTGCAATATTTTAGTCATTAAAAAGAAAAATCTTAAAACACATTTCTATCTAACTCCAGTATAAAACCACTAAAAAAATCCAACACTTCCTATCAGATCTAACCGTTACCTTTTACTGGTCGTGAATAAATACATTTTTGTTGGTATAGAAAAAACCTTCAGCATAGCACAGTCAAATGGAAAGAGGTATTACGCTCTTGATAGCCTCTGATAGCTTATTTCTGAAGCAGCTGAACACGTTTTCCAAACTTCATGGAAATTCTTCCAGAAAAGTTATTCCTCAATTTTTGCAGCACTTAGACGAGAGAAGACACAAAATTTAACCTGCCCAATTACACTTCCATAGCAAATGTATTATTTCAGAAGGTCCTTATTTTCTATTCCATCATCATACCATATCGGCCAAAGACACATGGGCTACATGTATCTAACACACTTTTAGCTCACAAGGAAGATTTTATTGCCATCTCCCATAACATCCTCACAGGCCAACTGATGTAGTCTAGGCTAGGAAAGTGGACAGTGAGGTGGACTGAAAACTGGCTCAGCTGCCAGGCTCACACAGTTGTGATCAGCAGCACAAAGTCCACCTGGAGGCTAGTCACTAGGGATCAACCCCAGGGCCTGACACTGGGGCCAAACAATACTGTTTAACATCATTAATGACCCCGACGATGGGGCAGAGTGCCCCCTCAGCAAGTCTGCACACAATATAGAACTGTGAGGAGGGGTTGATACAGTACATGGCTGTGCAGTCACTCAGAGGCACTTCAACAGGCTAGAGAAATGGACTGACAAGAAACTCATGAAGATCAGCAAAGGGAAATGTCAAATTCGGTACTTGGGAGGAATAAATCTATGCTCTGGGTCAGGCTTGGGGCTAACCACATGGAAAGCATCTTGGCAGAGAAGGACATGGGAGTCTTGGTGGACACCATGTTGTCTATCAGCCAGCCATTTGGCCTTTGTGCAAAGACCAATAGCACCTGGGACTGCATTAGAGAAAGCATCACTAGCTGGCTGAGGGAAATGCTCCATTCCTTGTACTAAGCAGTGGTGAGATCGCATCTGAGGTCCTGGGTCCATTTCTGGGCTCCCCAGCACAAGGCAGACATGGATGTACTTGAGAAAGACCACTGAAGTGCCACGGAGATGATGATGGGCACGAAGCATCTATCACAGAAACGCCTATCTGAAAGAGATGGGTCTGTTTACTCTCAAGATAGGAAATTCAGCAGGGATCATAACAATGTGTATAAATACCTGATGAGGGGGAGTAAAGAAGACATAGCCAGACTCTGACCTTCTCAGTCACTCAGCAGTGACTAGCGAAAGGATGAAAAGCAATGTACACAAACTGAAATACAAGAAGTTCTGTTTAAACATCAGAAAAAGCTTTTTTACTGGTTAGGGTAGTCAAGCACTGGGACCAACTGCCCAGAGAGGCTGCAGAGTCTTTACCCTTGCAGGTATTCAAAAGCGGACTGGACACGGTCCAGACCAACCAGACTTGGTTGACCTGCTGTTAGATGGAGGGGGGTTAGACTGAATGATCTCCAGAGGCACCTTCCAGACCCAGCTCTTCTGTGATTTGGTGGTTCTGTGAAATTCTCAGCCAACTGTACCAGGAATTCCTCATCACTGAAAACCAGTGCTTTATGAAAACATTTAAACCATTCTTTTAGTCCCTTTTCCATAACTAGGATTTCCTTGCCAGCCTACCCACCGTGAAATTTCTGGCAGCTGCTTTTGTTTGGTACCTCAGTCCTGAGAAGGTCCTGCCTTCGGCCTCTTGCCAACTCCACTAAGCACTGCTCTCAGGCGGCCATAATCAGAGCTGACTGCCTGAACAGTAACATTCAAGACATGCAAAACCCATTCAACCAAATATTACATCCTCTGAGCAGGAAAACTGGGTAGGAAGGGATGAATTACGATGATCTTATCCCCATCAGCAATTCCCTATCCTAACATGTACTCTGAGAGCAAAGTCAAGCCAATCCTCAGTCAGTACTAACAGAATCAGAAACAGAGTTGGAAGTACCCTAAGCTTGACCACAGTTTTAACATTCTCAGCTATGCCTCAAAAGTAAAGCCACTGCAGGTCTCGCCTTGAAATTTTGCAACAAATCAGAAAGCCTCTCCTCCTAAAACAGAAACAATCTGATTCCTAACTTAACAAATGCCCTCCTAAGACAGTCTGCTACAGCAAGTTTCCAACATTATTAGAAGTGGAAAGAACCTCTCCAGCTTTGACATTAAGGCAAGTTTTTGTTGAACTGCAACTTTATTCACAATGTAGAGACCTATGTTATGGAAATTAGTAAGGTTCCTCAGGAAAGAAGATACCATTTGATATAATAAGGGCAATTAGTTCTGATTCTCATAAGAGACATTACCTTGTCACAGAACTTCCCTTCAGTCTTAAACTGTATGTAGATCTATTGTGATGCTACCAAAGGTTTTGCAAGCCTCAAGAATCAGGGACAAAAAGCCATCTGCCTTTTATTGGTATTAATCAGCTCAGCTGAAATCTTTAAATTTGTTATCAACAGAACAGTACTTAGGAGGCCCACTAAGAGACCAAAATCGTGCTGGTATAGGTATCCAATATTTTTAAATATCTTTTGGAAATCTATATGGCGGATAAAATATCAAGGTATGCATCCTTCCTTGATTCTGAAAAGAAAACATTAATAATACAGTTAGAAACTAAACCCTCCTGAGAAGTCAGTAAACTCTTGCAGTCTGAGATTTAGTTGGCATTTTACTCACAAAGGACAATATTTCTTCCAAAAACTATTCCCCCTCCCACCCCTGTAGCAGGGAGAGTATTCAGCTTACCTGAAAATAGAAGAAAGCTTGGCCAAACCAGTAGTGCATGATAGTAATCTGTGCTGCATCAAATTTCAAAGGTCTCCAGATATATTTTGTCATCATTGTCTGAATCAGCAGACAAAACACCAAGACTGGTAAATTGTGAGGTCTAAATAGAAGGGCTGCTAGTAGAACCAATCCACTATACACTTCCCATAATCCTGTACTCTTCACACTGGAGTCTGCAGAAATAACCTGTGACTTTAGTAAATCTTTAGTGCCAGTGAAGACTATGCCAAGAACAAAGACATAAACAAAACGAGCTTCAGTAATCCCCCTAAAGAGGAAATTAAAAACAAAAGTAATAACAATTAATAAATAAATTTAAAAAAAAAAATAAACAGAAAGATGAGCTACTTACTAATATCTATTTCACAGGTCAAAAAGTATTTCAAGAGAGGTGCAAGACCAATGGAGTTCTGCCAACAGGTTAAATTCTAAGGTTAGTACTGGCTGATTTCACAAGAGCGCTTTCTCAAATACAAAAACTCTAAAAATGGTTCATACTTCTATTACAACATCTCCAAATCAACTTTAGCAAAGAAAACAGCTTGTGCTAAAAACCAAACTAACCTAAAATATAAAAATAAAATTATATCTCAATTAATGTAACCAAAATAAACGTATGTTATTACTATTCAAGGTCTAGATCCATAAATATATTCATATAAATATGCTGCTTACATAGCATAATGAATTTCCCAAAAAATACTCTTCAGAGTGATATGGAAACTTTATTTCAGGAATTAAATTGACTTAAAAATGGCTATTCCCTTTAAGCTGTTCAGTGATTTTTCACAACTTCTTCACACAAACATACGTTTCTTTTTAGCCAACCAAGACAACAGTGACAGTATTTGAAGATCCTTATTTCAGTCTGAAATTTCTGCACACTCCAGACATTTTCTCACCTTACACAGCTGCACAGATAGATATATAGATATGCTGGTTTATACCAGAACATTTTTAATTTGTAACTGCACACATTTTTCAAATCCCTAAGCAATCTCATTAAAAAAAAATAAATAATGTTTTAAGTAGTAAGTGTAATTAGCATTTACTGCTATGTTCATTGCACCTATAAACTCATTGGCCTCTTCATTTCCAGTGAAAGTAATTTTCTAAAGAAAACACAGCATCTCGTCCAAAAAGCTGACAAAGACCAGTAAGCTTAAAAACTGTGACCTGCTATTCTAGAAGTGCTAGGCCCAAGGAACAAAGAAAATGAAGGCAGATATCCATCAGAATACACTGATATTCTTAGGTTTACTGGGCAAAAAAAGTCACAGATCACATTAGTGTGAGCTAAGCTATAATAATAATCCAATGAACTCACCAAATGAGCATATTAAGAATTTTGTGGTTATAAATCTTTTTTTTTTTATCTTGCAAAATATAAAAATACACATTAGCCACACATTTTATCCATAATTTAATATACATTATCCTTAGGGATTACAATTCACTTTCTACATGAATGGTGAATGAACATGGTCTCCCACCAAGTTAACATAATTCCCTCAGAGCATTCTTGAGTAATCTAGACTTAATAATACATGGAGGATTAGACCATTACACTAAATATAGTAAAAGCGTAGTTACACTTGGTGTAACTGGTGTAACCAGCTGACCACAGAAAACACCACTAGTCAAAATTTCTAAAAGTAAATTTCTCCTTTTAACTTCATTTTTTTCAGTCTTTGTAACGTCACCTTCCTTCTTAAACAATTACAAGTGAGCATGAATTCAATATTTCTTTTCCACATACAGGAAAAAGAACCAAAAAGCAACAGGAGAAATAATAAGCAACAGTATTTACATGTTCAGTTTTCTTTTTGCACCCACAGAAGCAAGAAAAAAGGCAAAAATCACCACATGACAGTGCTGTTGCCTTCTTAATTCTGAACACAGTGCTCTGTTCTATGGTTTAGCTTTCAAGGGCTCAAACTCATACCTAATGGTCTATGCAAGGGGGCTTTACTATTTTATTCCCTGAAATAGCAAGCCTTTGTAAAACCCTTGTAAGGCCCATTGGCTTTTTCCTTTAGAGGACAAAAATAAAAACCACTAAATTTCAGAGAGCTCCTGTGTTTCTGGCTAACGCAGAAATTTGGTGCCCTTTTTCAGTACCTCTGGTAATTCTGATGTAATTATTACCATAAAATATTCAAATATATTTATGTGACTTAGAACTAAAATTTTAGGAAATAGCTTTGGGTACTATTAAATGAGTTAAGTGAAAACTGAAATTAACCAGTTGATAGAAATTCAAACTAAAAAAACAATTTCTCAGCAAATCCACTACTATTATTTTGTTTGTGTTAGTATAGTATATATTCATCTTTTTCATTGCACAAACTATCATTTTTTAAAAGAACTCTGAGGAAAACAGAAGGTCAAATTACTTCCTTGCATTTTTTAATTTAGAGTTTATTTTAGTGTAAGCCATAGAAGACAGGACACACTTCAATTGCCTCTTCTCCCTCATCTACCTCCCAGCAGTTGTCACATTCAGACAAAAAAAACTTATCTCCAGTAAGGAGTAGAGAGAGGGCGCGTTTCAGAGCAAAGATTCTCCATCTTACAGAAGAAAGCATTATGCATGAAAAAATGCAGTGGCTGCCTACAGCTTTTTCTCATATTACACAAAACTACTTCTACCTTGCACCTGGACCTGAAGCTATTCCATATCATGAATACACTAAAGATACCTCTAGACACATTCAAAAAAAAGTCCTAGTTTTGCTCCATTTATCCCATCAGCCTTCTAATGAAGATGACATATGATCACTATGTCAACACATCAGCTAACATCTGAAACCTACTAACATGTGTCTACCATCTTTTTTGACATGCTGTATTGGGAGCCTTGCTGAAGATAATGTTTGTGAGGAGTTAGTGATCTCAGGCAAACCATGTCTGCTGTATTAGGCCTTGCACTTTAGGCTTGAGAAGCCCACATGTTAGCATGACTAGCCACTGCAAGGGACCATGCTGGAACCCCTGTGCTGGCCTGTGTTTGCGCTGGTGGGCGTTGTGACAGAAATAATGTTCTGACCTGGCAGGAGCAGATACATGGGTTTGTTTTGGTTTGTTTGGTTTGGTTTGTTTTACACAAAATAAAAGGCCCTATGGTACGGGAGGGAGGCAGAACCTCACCACATATGGGACTCGTGTGCCACAACATGCCATGGGAAGATTCATTTGGGGTTTGATGCTGCACGAAAGCAGGGTTCTCAGCATCTGAAGGCACTCACTACCTACATTCCTGGTTTTACTCTATCTTATTAAAACAGCTATTTTGTTACATATGTGTTGTTGGTCCTTTCTTACTGAAATCCGGAAGGAGCCCTGGCACCACACCTCCTGCCCCAGGTGCAGAACACATGCTAACACAAAGGTGACAACCTGCACTTGCTAACCCTACCCGCTTTCGCCAAATAGCTTACACAGAGGATCTAAAGGATCTAAAGCTTTGAAACTTGACAATAACTTTTAAACCAGTATATAATCAGAGATAAACTAGCATATAATCAGAGATATATAAAGGTCTGACTCAATTTAAGCAAATCACCATGTTCACTATTTATTTAAGGTGAAATAACACAAAAAGCCTGTATCTTTCTTGTTATAATAGCAATCAATATGCTGACTATAGAATTAACAAGTTCCCAGTAAATGCGTTGCCTTCAGTATTTAAGCACTCCACTTATTTCTCTGTTCCCCTTTTATTTGCAGCTCAGTTGCTGTATTTAATGTACTGTCCCACATTGCAGTATTTTCCTTCTTATTGCAAGGACAGCATTATTCTTCAAGGATTTTACTCAAACACAAAGCAAAACTAGAGGTCACACTCAGAAATCACGCATGTTTCAAACACAGGGCCAAATCCTGCAGACTAAGTAAAGATTACCATTATTTTTGCATTTAACAGAACTAGCACACAGCATTAACACTAGTATACAACTAAAATTATCTTCAATATTTGGCTAGATGGAATGTATGTAAATATATCTAGATACACATACATACAAATAGTTGATACAAAATATGCCTTGTTAGCAAATCTGATCTTCTATATGTCCTAAGACCTTCTCCTGCAGGGCTTTTTTCCACCTCTGCACATCTTGTGAATCACTGGCCCCTGATTAAGAAGCTCCAACAGAAACCATTTGTATTCATATCAAATTCAAAATGAGTGCAAGAGAAAGTTTACTGCATTCAGAAGACAATTGTTTTACAATTTCCCTTCCAGGATCCCTTCCTCCTCATCAAATGTCCTGATTCTGCAAGTTTTCCACATTTAGAAAAACTTGAGGCTGCAGAGCCAGGTACAATCCAACAGTAAAAAGTATCATAAGAAAACTAAAGCCACTTAGCTACATTCCAAAAGTAGCTATTGGTGAAAGAGCTAATAGCTTCCTTACAGTTGCAGACTAGTTCTGTAAGAAGCTTCACATCCACGTAAAAATCCTTAGTATGCATTGTGCAGCATAGCCTAAACCTCAAGGATTCGATTGCATCTTGAAAGGCCATACATTACAGAACACTCACCTGCAAAAAGAAAGTTACGGAAAAGCAACTCTCCTAATCACTGCCTAAACATTTTCAAAACTAGGAAGGAGCTAAATGAGCTTGACATGTGCTCTGCTAAATGTGGCCAGTCCATCTAAAACAAGAGGAAACGGTGTATTTGGAGTTTCTTTGTAGCAAAAATACAGTGAATGACCATTAGATTTTCCTCATCTTAATTCTTATCTGACTAGCTTCTTTCTGTCACAGTCGAAAGGCATTTCATGGGACTCAAAATTATGCACACACAACAAAAACTGAGTTCTGGCCACCTACAAAACAGAGTTTTATTCATAAGAATGTGATTTCAGCCTAGACATAATGTCCCTCCCACCTCATCCCCTGATATCCAAAGTGTTAACACCTCTCTAGAAACAGAGTTACATATCTGTTGATTAACTTACTTTGAAATATCTTTGCTGTCACGTTGCCATGGAAATATGACATTTCCAATAGCTGCCCGGTAACTGTAGACTCCCAGGAGCCCAAGTGCCATAGCAATTTTTGAAACCAGGGACGATCTTCTTTGAACCAGAAAGAAGATCATAAGTAAGGAGACTGCAGCCAAGAAGGAGAGTTCAGATTTATGCTCAGAGCTGGGAAAAAAAAAAAAAAAACAAACAAGCAAAAAATCCTTCAAACCACTGTAATTACTGATAAACACATTTGACAGATCCTTAGCTACAGCATTGTATTTCTAAATTAATCACTGCACTGACATCTGTTATGAGCTTTCCAAGAGGTATGGTAAAATATTTCAGTATTTTTAGAAAAGTGATTTTATTAATGAGGTTTTCTATTCAAGCATGCATGTTTAAAAGTGTAATTATTGTGTTCCACCATATGCTAGTTATTCTGTTTATTATATAAAAACTGAGCTGCATATTGCATAATGGAAAAGGGTCTAATGCTTTTAAACTAGAGTTTTGTTATTTATACCTTTTGAAACAGTACATTTTGCTTATGCTACAGCATTCCATTTTCTAGCATAAGGCAGAAAAGAGTTTTGCACTACAGAATTAGAACTATTCTCTCTTTTTAAATAACTGCACACGTATTTGATTTGTTTAATTTTAGACATATGAAACATTGCATAGCCAAAATGACCAGAAATATACTTACATAGTTTAAAACACACACAAACATTTTAGCACAATGTGATTCCCTTACGCAACTACAGCACCTTGTACTGGATGAATACATAAAAGAGATAAAGACACAAAATTTGCATTATGGCCAAGAGGATTACAGATACAGTTTGTTTGTTCCCCCGCTTCCTAAATAGGTAACATCCATTCCAGAATCAAGGGCATTTCATTGAGCATGCTGCCAACGTTACTGTATTTAAATCTACAGTGATATTAATTAGCACTGCAAAATGTAATGGGGTAAGGTAAGGATCTGCACTCAGCCTCTACCATAGCTAGCTATGCAATTTCAGAAAGCCTACTGTAACCCAAGAATTGCTAACTCTTGCCTACCCCAAATATTCCCAGTATCCCAAATGACCTAGAACCACTAATTTTGTTAGATTTACTTTCTGTTAAGAACACCATGTACAGTGTGAGAGCCAAGGGCTCCATCTTCTGTCTTCCACACTTCAAAAAGCCACAATAAAAGATCACTAACTTCAGCAAACTGACAGTGAACCTGGGCTGTTATCTGCATTAGCTCTAATTGCACTTATGAAACTCCAGTTTTATCTTTGATTTAATCAAAATTACAGTACTTCAAACAGGTTTACTTTCATAGTGCCCAGTATATGCTTTATCAAGAGTTTGATCAATAGCTGTTTCAGCTGTTGTGCTTGGAAAGTCACAGAGGAAAGGATATGGGGCAGAAAAATTATCCTGTTAGTCCTTCCTGCAGGACCTAGTCAAGCACTTCATAGCACTTAACAAGACTCCCAAGAGATGCACTGCTCTCTGCAGGCCAGTACACAAAAGGGAGAAGAACCAGAACTAGAACACTATGGGAGAGAAAATGTAATCTTAATGTTTGTCCTCGCTTCTGTTCCTCCTCTACAGGAGGAGACAGTAGGAGCAGTGAATGGATTGCTGCAGCCACCTGTGAAGACTGTACGCACCACCTCTTATGATCAACACATTAAGAACTAATTTAGTAGCCACTGCGTCTTTCAAATGAACCTTTGTGGAAAACTGTAAAAGCTTTCAGGCCATATTCTCCTTGGCTGCTCATTGTCTGAGCACGAGATAAAACAAATCACAGATAAATAACAGCACATCATCATCATCTTTGTCTTTGTCTCTTTATCTAAAAAAGTCAATGCACTTCTGTTAAGGGCCTCTTGCAGGCAAATCTAACATAGCAACACATAAAAATTAATAAAACCTGTAAGAAGTAACTGCTGGTGCTATGTCAAGCAAGACACTCACTAACAGCTGCAATTTCCTACAGTGAACATTTGAAATCATATTCTAACCCCCCAAAAAAGAAAGAAAATTCTTAGAGAAGACCCAGTGCACAGCAAGGGTATGTTCACAGTCATGTGCACATCAGTCACTAATGCTGCATTCTTGACTGCTAGCACAGAGGTTTATATCCAACTCGTGTCCAGGGTTTCTGGTAACAGTCCTCTATTATTTCTGGTTTGGATTTTTCTGAAACCATGTAAATTTGTTGCAAAAAAATCTAATCCAATGTTTCATAGAGTTTGCTGAAGAAACAATAAAAGGATTTATAGCAAGTGAACTCAGGTCAGCACAAATCAACTACAGTTTCAAGGTTTTCCAGCCAAGGTACTTACAATTAGGGAGCTAAGTACATATTAAATTAGTATGTATTTTGAAAGGCGATTGTAGTTGCTCAACACAGTCCAGCCATTTAGCCAAGTTCTGAATCATAGAATCATAGAATCATTATGGTTAGAAGAGACTTCAAAGACCATCAAGTCCAACCGTATACCTGATGCCACCATGCGCACTAAACCATGTCTTGAAGTACCACATCTAAACGTTTTTTGAACACCTCCAGGGACAATGACTCCACCACCTCCCTGGGGAGCCCGTTCCAATGCCTAACAACTCTAACAGTGAAGAAGTTCTTTCTAATGTCCAGTCTGAACCTCCCCTGGCACAACTTAAGACCATTTCCTCTCGTCCCATTGCTAGCTACCAGGGAGAAGAGCCCAAACCCCACCTCACTACAACCTCCTTTCAGGTAGTTGTAGAGGGCGATCAGGTCTCCCCTCAGCCTCCTCTTCTCCAGACTAAACAACCCCAGCTCCCTCAGCCGCTCCTCTTAAGGCTTTTTCTCCAGGCCCTTCACCAGCTTTGTTGCCCTTCTCTGAACATGCTCCAGCAGCTAAAATCCAGAATGATTTTGATATTCTACTCAGAAATACAAGTATGAATGTGCTACTCTGATCTCAGCTGAAACATAGCGGGGTTTTGCCTAAACCACAAAACTGAAAGTGAAGAACCAATAGTTTCCTGAGAGAGAACCTGGGGAGGGGGGAAGGAAAAACAAGCACTTTGTCTGTCTGTCCTTACTGTAACAGCTTGTGATCTACACTTTCACTTCTGGCATCAGGACAAAGACTGAAGACATTTCCTTCCTCTACTTTGACCTCACCTCACTACTGCAAATACAAGTAGAGTGAAAGGAATTATAAATGTGCATGAGTCATACTTCAGGTGGATAAAGCCTTTTTTAATTGTTTACTTGCATTCTACTATGTACAACAGACTACAAAGGAGTCAAATGGCACGCTAGCTTTGGGGGGAAGGGCATTTGGGAATGGTTAAGTACACTACTAAAAGAAAACATTATCGTCTTCCCATGCTGCTGCTTCTCATCACTTCTCTTCAAGCTGACACTGTCATTGACAGCCTCACCCCTGAGTCTCTCTGCAAATAACAAAGAACATTCTCCTTATTTCGTCACTGTTGATTGCATCCCTAGTAGCCAAATTCAACACACTACAGGTAGATTGATTTTCTGTGTTTTGCTGCTTACATTTCTCCATGCACAAACCTGCACAATAGTCTCTTGGTATCAAATTCTGAGTCCCTTAAGCTCTGTTCAGATAAGCAAAATATCATCTAAAAGGTCGATACAGGGGGACAACAAAGAGGGTAGTTTGTTCACTAGTTTATCTTAGAGACAAAATAGAAGGCTGGTTAGAAAAAGCCCGAGTAGCTTTAACTCAAACTAACGAGAGTACACATGATCTAAGTAAGGTTCTAATTTCTTATTACTAAAAAATGTGCTATTAAGACATAACTATGCAAATTAAACACATACTAAAAATAGAATAACAATCAACCTTAGAGACTAGCAATGCATTTTGGGAAGAGGAATAAGTGCTTTATGCAGCTCAGCTTACCACCCAACTTTTAATTTATGCTATAAGGAAAACACATAATCTCAAACCTGATCAAAACACTAGGGAAACAGACATCTCTACCACCCTCTTCTTTTGTGAAGGAGAAGGAACAGACGTTAAAACCTCCAACCAGAGAAAACGCAAGCATGCTTGCCAAATAGGAATTCACAGATACTCTACAAACCACAGGATGTGCAAAGGTTTAGTTGCGTTGTTGACTGATCTTTCTGAAGTTTGCCCAGTGACCCATTTCAGACCCAAGAACTCATCTACATCCCATCACTCAAGTCCAAAAATTATGCATTTCGAATGCTGCTATTTGTGCAATCTTTTAACCCTATAAAGCAACTGAAGTGTATCTCAGCATGGTGACATATATCACATTCTCCCATTAGGTTAAAAATTGCTCCATTGATTTAAGCCAGGATGTAGCTCCACAGCAGCTTGAGCAAACCTGTGCCAGGGCTGTCAGGGTTCTGCTCTTTCACCTGCTCCCTAAACATGGCAGAAGTATTTACACCAAAGGCAGAAGGCAGAACTGTGGCAGCTCCAGTGACACATCCTCTTAGCCTGTCATGGCATGGCACTCTGGACGGTTCCACAGTCCTTTTAAAACACGCAGAAGCACAGGTTTGTGAATCATTGCTTCTTAATCAGATCTGAAAGGCAAGTGGGTTTTTGTAAGGAATGCTTGACAAGGGCAGAAAGAAAAAAAACTGCTTATGTCTGCAGTGCTTCAAAAGATGCAAATACTTCCTCATTTTGTTTCTACAGGAATTTCAACAGCAGCAGTGCTGGCTTTCACGCCCTTCCCCTCCTGCACTCCTGTTACTAAGCCAGCCTGTTTGCCTGTGACGCTGGATGGTAAATCAGAGTGGGAACTGATCCATCTGAAAACCAAGAGTTTCCCATGCTGTCTTGGGTTATTTTTCCAGCCACATCTATTCAATGATTTAGTTCACCATACTGACAAAGCAACAGCTGTGCCAGTAAAATACAGAGCCAGTGAGAGGAGGAGCAAGAAAGCACGTACCTTGCTTCTTTAATACACTATTATAACCAAACAAGCATTTCTAGCCCAAGACTATAGCTGTTGGACCTTTTCTCTTCTACTTGCTTCAAGACCAAAACAAATAGATCCAAAGTGAGGCTATAATTTGGTAAGTAAGCACAGGGAGCAAAATTCTGTAAAATACTGAAGTTTTGGTTTTGATATCTAGCTGTTGTACTTTAGCCTTACTGAAGGGAGGGGCAGATAGCTTTAATAATAGGGTTGTGATGGCTTTATGAAGGGGACGTAATACTTAATCAACCGGACAGACTTCTGTGATGAGATGACTAGCTCAGTGGAAGAGTGGAGAGAAGGCAATGTTGTTTATCTTGGCTTTAACATGGCTTTTAACATCATCTCCTGTAACATCCTCACAGGAACACTGATACAGTCCAGGCTAGGAAAGTGGACAGTGAGGTGGACTGAAAAGTCGCTCATTTGCCAGGTTCACAGGGTTGCGATCAGCACAAGGTCCACCTGGAGGCCAGTGACTAGCGATCAACCCCAGAGCCTGACATTGGGGCCAATGCTGTTTGACATCTTCATTAACGACCAGGACGATGGGGCAGAGTGTCCCTTCGGCAAGTGTGCACACAATACGAAACTGGGAGGAGTGGTTGACAGCGTAGATGGGTCTGCTGCCACTCAGAGGCACCTAAACAGACTGGAGAAATGGCCCAACAGGAACCTTATAAAGTTCAATGAGGGGAAGAGGCAAGGCCTGCACCTTGGAACAAATAGCTACACACATCAGGAGAGACTGGGGGCTGACCATCTTTTCAGAGATGGCTCTGAGCATCCTGGTGGACGCTGAGTTATCATCAGGCAGCAATGTGCCTTTGCAGCAAAGACGACCAACAGCATTTGGGGTTGCATTATGAAAAATGTTACCAGCAAGTTGAGGAAGGCGCTGCTTCTCCTGTGCTCAGCTCTAGGTCCAGTTATGGTTTATCCAGTACAGATAAAGATATGGACATATTGGAGCAGGTGCAGTGAAGGACTATGAAAATGATGATGGGATTGGAGCATCTGTCATACAAGGAGAAGCTCAAAGCACTGGGACTGTTCAGCCTCGAGAAGGCTCAGTATGGATCTTACCAGCCTGACTATGGGTGGACAGCGTTAAAAAAAGATGAAGCCATATTTTTCTCAGTGGTGCCCAGCAAAAGGACAAAATGGAGCCAAAAAGGACACAAATTGAAATAAAGAAAATTCTGTTTAAAATGGAATTGGGGGGGGGGGGGGGGGGGAAAAAAAAAAACACCCGAACGGGGTGGAGAAAACAAGTTGCCCAGCATAGCTGTGCGGTCTCCATGCTTGGAGACACCAAAGACCCAGCTGGACAATGATCTCAGCAATCTGTTCCAGATCACTCTGCTCTGACCAGTGGGACTGAACAAAATGATTTGCAGAGGTCCTCTCCAATCTCAACCATCCTGTGGTTCTGTTGAGATGGACAGGAATTCTGCAAAACTTGCCAATTCCAATTCACAGGAGAAAAAAAAAAACAAAACACAAAACCAACCTCCTCCCTCCCTTCTCCTCCACTCTCCCCCCCCAACCGAAAAAAAAAGACTAAGCCAGAACAGGTGTAAAAATCCTTGGTTTACCTGAGTGGGTTGCCTGGAAGCTCCTGACAGGCAGTAGTGTTAGAGATGGGCATACAGGATTTCCCATCTTTTGTTACAAATCAGGAAGCCCTAGAGGCACCTGCTGTAGCTGCAGACTATGTTCCACCTGTGCTACCTCCTCGAGTTCCCCCAGCCCAAGGCTGTAACAGATTTTGCTGCTCTACAGGCATACCTAGCACCAGGAAGTCAGAGGTGGGAGCACACTTAACTGAGACAGGATCTTTGGAAGTTAAGTCCAGGCATGCATGCACAATCTTTAGAAGGCTGATAACTTTTCCAAGTGTCAGTCAGCATTCCTGGGGGACCATAGGAGCAAAAGCATATCTCTGAAACAAACACCATTTTTCAGCTGCAAGAATATCAAGTACTTGTTTCATGGCATTGTGGCACTAGTACACTTGAAAGAAAAGGGCTGACAGTCTGAAGAAGACATGTGGCTCAGGAAGTTACTGGGCAAATAAATCTCTGGAAGATGCTCAGGATTAATTATAAAAATCCTCCCAGTTGCACTAAATCACACCTAATCCTGCTCACGCACTGGCTTAGCTCATAATGAATGAGTTCTCTATCACATGGACTTAATATTGGGAATATGACATTCCTTCCTCAATCCCTCACCTCATCTCAAGACGAGGAATGCATGGCAAAAGCTTTGGTATAGAACAACTGCTATAATGAGATAAATTCCCTCATAAGTCATGTCTTTCAGCACTCATGCCTGTCACAGCAATTAGCATTTTATCTGTGAGGCTGCCAGTAAGTAACAAGTCTCATATTAGTTCATTTGCTCATGTCGCTTTTAATGAATGATGAGTGACATTTCATCCATGTGTTGTAAGATACTGGCAAGAAATCTCTATCTTACACAGCACAGCCTCCCCATCCACTGTCTGCAAAACCTTGACTAGTAGCACAAGGTATTGCTTCTTCATCCACCAGCTGAAGTACAGAAGACAGTTCAAATATCAAGTACTTTTTATCACTGAATAATGACTAGTTCAAATATCAAGTGCTTTTTATTACTGAATAATGACTGTAGTTCTTCACAGTACTAAAAGACAGTAGAAAAAGTAGAAGCCCTTCTCCTGTGTACTTCAAGTTGTAAAAAAAAATCTCCTTCTTGTTTATCATACTACACTTGAAAATTCCTTCAGTTTTGTACCCACACGTTAAATGTCTGTGATAGACAAGGAACAATTCTATGTGCAGCATCATCTCCTGCAACTTCATAAAGTTTGGAATTGAGCAGAACCTTCTGCCTTAATTTCAAGGGTTTAATTCTATTAAGTGATTTTTCATTTCCCAAACCAGACATTGTTGACTTACACATGGAAAATATTTACTTTTTGCCTCTGATAAACCTATCATGTATAATTGGCATTAATTAGATAAGTCATGGTGCAGGGCAAAGATTATAAACTATTGATAGTACACAAGGAACTACTCCTGCATGAAAGAGCAGTGAAAAATTCCTTATGTTACTTCATTGTTTACCCACTTTGCATGTTTGCAGCACTTTCTAAACAGAGACTGCATAGAAATGTATACATATTTCACCAAACAAAACATACATTAATTTTTAAATAAGACAGAAAGTATGGCAATAAATCAGATACCCACCTTGTCAACCAATGTCCAAAGTCTGGCCGATGAGCCCACTGGACACCTGTCTGATTCAAGGATCGAAGTAGCCGACAGCAAATAAGGATGATCCATGGACTTGCTAAGCTTATCCACTTATCTGATCCTTTTATGAATTCAGCTGAAGAGGTGGCCTTGCCTAATTTTGAATTACCCGCTGCTGGAATTTCTATATTCTTGCACTCAGAGGCTTCCCCAATACTATCAAAATTTTGTTTCACCGTGGTGCTCTGCTGAGGGTCACATTGTTTCAGAAGAAAATTATTCCTACAAAGTTCCTGACACAGCACCAAACAAAGCGTATTGATAAGAAAATACCAGGTTTGATGTTCCTCTTCTATAAAACTGCTTGCCCCCAAACTCAAAACATGGCCAATTGTTCCAGCCAGAATCAGCACATCTATTTCTGACCAGCTGGAACTGGACACAACTGGATTCTGCAAACAAAAAAAATAATATAGTAGTGATGAAAGTGTATAAAAATTTCACCTGTTTAAGTATTCATAGTGTACTTACAGCAATTTCCTCTAAGAAAACAAAATAAACAGTGAGACAAGTTATTTCTATCTTGACAAATCCCCAAAATGTATAAAAAAAAAAAATCACGTATAAATGTATAAAAACATAATCATACTTTTTAAAATTACATTTGAAGGGAAAAAGTTTCTCTATGAATAATAATCACAACTGTACAGATTAAGACTCCCTACCACCATGGGACAGAAGGTTTGAAACAAGTTGTCTCCCTGTTGCACAATCGTAGAAGTAAAAATAGAAATCCTGCAGAAATCAAACTTGAGATAGGCAATTTTCTAATAGTTTAAATCTGTGCTACCCTCAACTCAGTACAGTGACAGCCTTCACTTGCAGGCCGTCTGATGGCACCTCTTAATCTTGCTTACCTTGAAATGTGTCTTTCATCATAGAATCTACTTGAAACCTTACCCATCTATTATTTACTTCACATGCTGTGCCTATCAAAATCCATAATATTCTTTGCTTAACGCCTCCATTAGTTCGATTTCCTGTTCACAGTAGCTACTTAGAATTGTTTCACCATCACTGCCCTTGCTGATATGCCTAAAAAGAGAGTGTAAGGGCATGTGGAAAGTGAGAGCATCTGGTTCATTGACATAATCAGGTAAAGGACCTTTTCAGCTCACAAGGAATACACAGTAACAGGCAAAGCCATAAAAAGACCACACAGAGACACAAACCCAGTAAGTAAGTGCTAAGGGAGATCATAAAGATGACCAAAACTCTTCGGCCATTAATTGACAGGCCATTAAGAAACCACAGGCTCAGCTCTGAAGAGCATTAGCCTGGACTTCGTAACAGATAAGGGGGAAGTGACAGAACTTGAGTATTACAGACATCTGATGGCGCCTCTGGATCTATACAACATCATTAAGCAACACTTCAGGAAAGTGTCAAAGGTGGGGGAGAAGGGGTGGTGAGGAACAGGCTGGAGGCAGGGGGTAAAGTGAGAGGAGGAAGGATAAAAGAGATAGAGTCACATATAAGCAGGTGCCAGTCAGTACACTTCTCTGACTGAGCCCAGTGCCTGATCACTGCAGTCTATCCTGTCTTATTAAATCCTCTCCTAACTATCTTTCTGTGCAACTCCACTCTCCGTCCCACTTGTGGGTGCTGCAAGGTCTCACTGCAAGTAACTGGGGACAAGTCTGCACGCCTGCAACATGAGACCAGAGTGAGTAACAGCAAATGCCAGCAACTGGAGTGGGATCGTGGGTCACTGGACCCACGCACCTGTAGTGCCAGCAACTGCAGCACATGAGGGTCCACATGCCAGAGACAGGAGTGGGGACCACAGGACATTGGGACTGTGTGCCCGAGGCGCCAGCAGCTGGAGGGATCAGAGTGCAAGAGATGTTCGGGTGTCAGTGACAGGAAAAGTGACCATGGATGACCAAGCTTGTAGGTCTGCATCAGCAACTGGAGGGCCCCGAGTACGCACCTACGTATGAGAGGTTACAGGGCAGCTGACTGGAGGGACCTCCATCTGTTTAACTTCTCCTCAAAGCCTAAAACAGAGGTGGGGAGAGGGTCCCAGGCTGGGCATGCACAGCCAGGCTCCAGCAGCAAGGCAGGACAAATGCCCCAGCCCTGGAGGCCACCAGGGCCAGCAGGGGCTTCCCAACATACCTTAACAAATAGGCTTACATACTCGTGAAGCATTTGGGGAAAGACACTCTCAATCTTCTACCATTTTATTTTCTCATTAATTTTCCTCCATTAGAGAATATCACCAAGTATCTCTTAAACTGGTATTTTAAACACCTGATAAACACCAACTTAAAAGCCAAATCGAAACTACTGCACACCATTTTCACTTCAGAACAAAGACCTCTGAACCTGCTTTTAACATTAACTTCTTTAACTGCACACTTCAACCACATCATCCTCCTACATTTGACCTTATGAACAAACTTTTAAAAACCACCTTGAATATTCATAGATAAACCTCGCAGAGAACATACTTACATTCAAAGATGCACAGTGCACTACGATTCCTGAACTGTTTAAATCATTTGTTGGAAGAATATAGAAATTCACTGATCTTAGAGCAGGTAACAAGAAAGTGGGTGTTAAACAATACAAATATCCCTGAGCATCTTAGATGCAAGTCTCACTTATGCTTAAGATTTACTGACAGCAGCACATGTATTTTTGTTCAATGAGCAAGACCATGTAACATGGAGAGGACAACAAACACACTTGGTGCAAGAAGCTAGTTAACACTATCCCGAATTTTGCTTTGAGGAAAACAACTTTTGCAAAAGCAAGATTTTATAAGATGTACGTGAAAGAATACAGGAGGTATAATTAAAGTCATCACCTATTCACATCACCTCCATTTCTTGTGTTGTTAAAGAAAAATATTACCCCAAAGTCATTTCACTTAAAAAAATAAATAAATAAATAAACCCCCCCCCCAAAAAAAACCCCAACAAAAAAGTCCCCATGAGGTTACACACAGCAATAACAAGGGAAAAAAAATACCAAAAATTTAGCACAACAGTCATAATCTGAAAAACTGCCCAGGCTCAATCTAAATTTAGTAGCATTTGAAATTTCTTTGGAGCTTTAAAGACCACTCCTTTTTGTTTAGTAGTCTACTATAAGCTGGTATTTGGAACAGAAGGACAAGGTAGCTCACGTGGAGACCAAAGACCATGAAACTCACACAGCTGAGACAAGAACAGTACACAACTAAACTACAGAAAGTTTAAACTCCAGTAATTCCATCATGCTGACCTTAAACATCTCGGCTAACTAAATAATGAGCGAGCACATAAGCATCATCTGCCTGCAGAGACAAAGGAATCTGAGATCCTCAACAAATGAGAATGATTCAGTCTTCAATACAACTAATTTGTCTTCTTTATAAGATGTAACATAAAATGTATGTAAGGATTGCTGTTTTCTACCTGGTTGCTCTCAGCACTGATACGAAACTAAAGAAGTGATCTATTATCAATGGGGAACATGCAAAAACCTCACGAAAATGATGGCGTTAGTATGAAATGTCACAGTGTCAGAAATCCGTATTTCTTGCCTGCTTCTCTGACTCTCACAACTCCAGTGCAAAGAGGAAAGATTTAGTCCTTTATTCACATCAAAGGATTAAAGTCCAATGGCATTTATTGATAAACCACATTTCAGACCAGAGTTAGTCAGTATGCAAAATGAAAAATTATCCTGCAAATTATAAACTCCTGAGCCTTGATGACCTAAGAAATACTGAAAATAGCTTCGAGTTTTTCTAAATTTCTAGCTCATATATGAACTGTCCTTTATTAGAAATGCCATCATTGCAGTTTTTTATACAGCCTGACCTTAGATTACTTAGATTGTACTTAGTTTTTAGACCTGGTTTACAGGCACAGAAATGTAGGTCCCACTCTGACACTCACAGCTCTGTCTTTCTAGTGGCTGAACACCTCCAACCCTCAGGAACTCAGCAGGCACTCCACATACTAAAAGATTCGTATGACTCACACTGATATCTTGGCAAACAAACTTAATACAGAATCTTTGGTTTAGAAATTTATAAATGCCATGCTTTCAATTGAAGCCTATAATCTGCCAAGCCAAGGTATTTTCAACAGTTGATGTATCAACATTAGTAATCAAGTGATACAGAAGCTGACCTCTTTGCCCTATCTCTGAACATACCCTGCTAGCTTGCAGAAGTGCCAGTATGTAAACAATGGAATATATGCATCTCTGCCCATGAAACTTACATTTTCTTCACTTTGAAATAAAACCTCCTGTAGTCTATCTTCTGGGTCCAATTCCAGTTATCTGGCTTCTGTATGGTTAAGAGTAATGCTTTTTCACAAAAATTAACCATCCATAGTTCATGCCTGAGGAATTTTACAGCCACTTTTCAGATGAGAAACATCTCATTTTTCATGCTCACTATCACCCAAAATTTAAATACTTATCATTCTGTTCCCTTCTGATATTTGAAGTCCCTGCATCCAGTCTCAATACCAAACAATGATAACTTTCCTATGACAGAGTACTACGGACCACACTTGCGCCAACATTTTCACAGCAGCTTGCGATAATTTTTGAAAGCTACCCAGTAAAGGCACCATTCAAACATCTTTTTTTTCCCAAGTCAAAAAATGCAAAACAAATTTTAGGTACAATTGCATAAAAATGTTTCATTGGTTCAGTAAGAATATCACACAGAGGAGCAAAACCAAAAATATTTTAAAATTAAGAAGGACATTTTTTTTATGTAATTAAAAAACCACTATAATTCTGCATAATGAAAATTCTCAGAAGTTGTATTTGACAAGCTTTAACTTTTGCGTCTATTTTCAAAACAAACAGGTTTTTTCTTCTATTTCTGATAGAAATCAAAATTAAAACTACTACTAGCAAATACTGTATTTAAGTCAACTACCAAGCAATTAGAGTGAAGCTATGAACAAGAAGTTAAATTTTTTTTACAATTTTCTGGAGTTCATAAAGGGCTGCAGAACTATTTAAAGCCTGAAGTGTCATTAAAAGAAGGGACTGGTGCTGCTAGAAACATAGTAATCAGAACCTATAAATAACAGTCAGGAAGCAGATGCTAACACTGCCTGCATTGGTCTTCAGAAAATTCATGAACTTGGTAATCAGTTTCTATATTCAGCTACAGTGGAAAAAAAGCATTACAAATGAGAAGCACTTCAGAGAAATCTTTAGATGTGAACGGAAACAATTTGAAGGAAAAAAGCTCTGAAGCCATTAACAGGAGAGCTTATCTTAATTACTTTTAAAATACCTACATTTTATCATATACCATGAGCTCAGAAACGGCTTTTAGCTTTTTTAACTGGCAAGACTCTGATTCCGGATTCTACTACTGCCATCAGAAGAGCAAGACTTCAGAGCTCTTTTAGAAGTGGAGTCCATATGCAGATTCACACTGCACAGATGCACAGGTCATAGACACTTGGATTCAGAGGTATTTTAGCTTAAGTAATACTCTTAACTCACATAGAAGGCCCTTCAAGATCATACAGTTTCTCCCCCAAAGGCTAGGTATTCTACTGGAAAAGGTGATGGAAGGTGAGACATGAATTTTTGTGAATTACAGTGTTTGTGCCCCAGTTACCAGTAAGAAACCTCTCACACCCACACTGCAAGCAACACCAGATTATCCACTGCTCCTTTCACATTCTCCAGGCTTTATCTTTGTATAAGCAGCCACCTACAAAAAACCACCACATCATTTTGCAACAGCCTTCTGACTGGCAAAAATGTAAATGAAATTAAGGTCACTGCTTTAATATATGTCTGGAATGGAGGTGCTTACTAACTAAACCTACAAAAAATTTCCAGCTTGCTTTGGAACTTGAACAGAGACAGGAAAGCCTATCTCACTGATGAGACAGGCATCCAGCAATCCAGTAGCCTATGAAATAGGACTGAAGACGGGATGACAAAAATGGATTTCTGCAGGTCTGGATACAGAGTCATGTCTGCCTCAAGCAGAATTACTACTGCCTACACTTCACAAGACACACTTCAGCTTCCCACATTTTCAGAGATGTCTTAAGTAGGAATATGATCTCAGACAGACCTAGGATCCAGTATTTTTTATTTCTATCTGCCCCAACCTTGGAAAAACAAATAAACACGCAAACCTTCTGGAAAACCTTGCTGAAAACCTCCTCATTCATGTATTATCAACTTGAAGCAGATGACCTGATCATCTGCTGGTATGTCCTGAGGTTCCAGCTAGGTAAAATTCCAGAAAACATGTACGCACCAGTTTCAGATATTTCCCCCACCCTTCCAGTTCAAATGGGAAATGCTTGAATTGATAACTGTTCCATTACAGTCAAATGGAGAGACTTTCAAAGGTGACGTGAAAATAAGAATCTTCATGTCCAAAAGACACTAACTGATCCCTGTCCTAAAATGACAGAAGTGTAATTGCCAGTGACACCAAATTTCACTTGTGAATAAAAGGAGGTTTTTCCACTTCTTGAATTCCAGATGGTCTCATAATTGTTACCAAAGAGGAAAAGGAGACAATCTGCTGCTGAAACATCCTTCTTCAAGCAACAGGGGATTGGATCTAAAGCCCCAGCATCAACCAGGGAGAAAGCTCCAGCTGCAGTGGTCTCTCATATGCAGAATGTGGGGTGCTGGAGGCAAAGATATGAAACTGGATACAGTAGCCTGGATATAATTTCTAATCAGTTTGTCTGGTTTTGCTCAGTTTGTCCTCAAAGGCAGATGTACAGACAAAGCAGGGATGGGGAAGGAAGACAACTGAAATAGAAGGGATAGACAAAGACTTCTCACACATACTCCTGTCCATGCTACCTAGGCATAGCTGACTAGGTGGAATCATCAGAAATAGCCAACAGACTATGGGTATAAAAATGGCACTTCCTCCTCTAAAGTTCCTCAGAAAGATTCATTCTAAAAGTGGAACGGCATGGATTATATCGGTGCCTCTTTTTATGTGTTCCTTGAGGAATTATTTGCCTCTGTCAGGGAGCTAGCAATTAATTCCTTTCATAAGAAAAGCCTTTCCACACAACTCAAGTTTTGAATACCAGGAGACATTTTGCAATTGCTGCTGTGATCATTGACAGAGCAGATGTATTAGCAATATATAAGCCACCTGCAGGAATTTGTTTACACCAGCAGCTGTCTCTCACCAACACGAATGAAAGAGGAAAGAACAAACGGGAATGAAACCCTAAGACTCAGGCCAAACTAAAAAGGCAGGGCTTGTACCTGTCAACAAATAGTTGGTAACAGCCTATTCTAAATTTAGTAATAGCCAAGGAACAGCAGCATCTTCCTAAATTGCAGTCTTCGACCTAGTAGTGTTGGAGACATGCGAAAAATAAAGGACATTACTTAACTTCTGTAGATAAACAAAGATATGACCCTGGAAGAAGAAATAGGATGGTGCCGTAAATCAGTCAAACAAGCAAATACCAAGATAAGCACAAGGAGACTAAAACCACTAATAAGACAAAGAGAAGATTACTTGAACTATGAGTGAACTATCTTAATTAACATACTGAAAAAACCACCCCCAGGTAGAGAAAGCAGCCTACTATCAAAAGCCCCTTTCCCACAGAGCACGCATAGCAGAAAAAAGAGATGCTGTGAGACTGAGCTCGCAAGATCCAATAGGAACAAGGGTGACTGAGCACAACTGTGAAAGTACCGATGGCTGTTGCTGGGAATATGTACATGCTTACCGTGTGTCAGCCCAAGCCTGCTAGCTTTCCGGAGTTACCACCTAGCATCCATCTCTGCGCAGACACAAAATAAACAAATATCTCGACTCTGCGTGTTAATCAGCTTTTTGCACACCCGGTAAAAGAATCCTGACTTTTGGGACAACAGTAGGAAACAAGCATTTTTTCTGGGTCATATAAAGTTACTTTAAAGTTGCTCCTACAGTAGTGGGTGTCACAAGGAATTAACTCATTTCTAGCCGTATAAGAAGAGTTTCCGGTCACAGACTGAATTGCTTTGTATTAACCTGGAGGAGAAAGCTACAACCTTTGCCATTGCTGTCAACTCTGTTGAAGTGGAATGCCTCTAAATTTTACACAGTTCTAGACCTCACCATTTTCAGGTTCTTATTGTTTGCTAAAATTAGAAAAACTAGTAACAATTAAGATGAAAAATGAGCTTGTCTTTCATAGTTGTGTTTGTTTATCATTGCACAGCATGTAAACATGAAGTTTCTACAGAATACACTGGATCACTAATTATTATTTCAAGACCATATTCTTTTACTTTTTCTAAGACTAATTCCTACCTCATTTACAAAAAAATACATAAAGCTAATAAAGGTCCTAAGTAGAAAAACTCAGAAACGGCAGAAGTGAACCAAGTCCATCTAAAGACCGACACACGAAGTACCCACAGTGCTAACAAACTGTACAACTAGACAACTCATTCAGCAGATTTCTCCATTCATATTGACTAATTTTACCTTCTTTTACTTGCCTTTAAAAAAAAAACCACACAAGCATCACTAGCTTTGGCAGCAAAACATTAACACTACTTTGACACAAAAATTTTCAGTACCAAAAGCAAACTGTGATTTACCGTTACAAAGACTGTTCTGTAGCAGCAATACCCGAGATGAAACTTCTTTCCCTGATTTCATTAATCGATGTTGTTAGCTGACTTGTTACTCTATTTTTGTCTATCTAAATGATCAACAGGCACACCTAAATCTTATGAGGCCGATAAATACAAACATAAGAATGAAACACCATGTTCTGTCAGCAACTCTCTTTTTAATCATTTTCAATACACTGAAATGAATTGTACCGAAGAAAACTGAAAAGGGAAAAAAAAAGAAAAAAAAGAAAAAAGCTGTCTTCAGGAGAGAAGGGCATTACTTTTAGTTCAAGGCTTCTCTCAGAAAAGCAGCATTTCCAAGAAGGAATAACGCAAATTCAGAAATTACAGAAACAAAATTATGAACTGGTATAGTTGGAATAACAAAAATCATTGGTCTTACTTATAAGAATTTAAATTTATAATTAAGCTCATGAATTACAGCATAGAGCTGCACAGAGTGCAATACTAATCTCCACTCAGAAGTAATGAATTTTCTGAATTATATGAAATATAGTGGTTATTACATGTTTCTCTAAGTCAGAAAGTTTGCTTTTTAGCTTGAAGGAAAATGTCAGCATATCGTTAAAGCAATGTACTTGCCACACATTGTCACACACTAAAAAAAAAAAAGTACTAAAACCCCAAACGTGATTCAAAGAAACCCAGATTGACAAAGGACTGTACAGCACAGCAGTTGCACCATTAAATAGAGTGCCATGAGCATTAAAGCTACCGAATTTCAGAGACCTTTGAAAGATATGACTAACAAGCACCAGAAAAAACAGCTAAAAGCTGATTTTATGGTGTGACTGACAGTTCCTGGCACACTCACTTTCACAGTGAATGAAGAGTAAGACATTGCAAATTCTATTTCCTTGGAATTACCTGAATTCTATTCAATATAACAATAAAAATCTTCAAGTACTTTACAGAAGATAACTACTTGCACAACTGAGAACATTTCTGAGTATTCTAAAGATTATAACAAACTCAATTTCTTAAACTTAAAAAACTTTAAAAGTTTAACTTAAAAAGTAGAAGAGACACACTAATTTTGCTCCCTCTGTTACACGGAGTATTAAGAATACAAATAGAAGAAAGGGTACTGGCAAAGCACTGTCTTATTAGTCTTAAAGCATTAATGTCTGTGGTACTTGGGAAAGGATAGATCATAACCAGTGCATGTTGCAAAATACCATATATCTTGCTTTAATTGCAATTGTGAAACATCACTGTGTAACAGCATAAAATTTGTACACAGCATAACTGTTTCTTATCTTACAAAATCAACTGCAAAATAATTTACACTAATTAGAACATTTCTTAAAGTAATGTGAAAATAAGCACGTCTATGAGCTTCATTACAGCAATCCGTACCATGCCACAGTGAACACACCACATTTCAATTACAATTTTAAATTACTCAAATTACATTACAAATAACAATTTCTTAAGTACACACAGAGAAAACTTCTATAAAACTTTATCTGAAAGTATGCGATAAAGAGCAAAACATTTTGAACTATAATTAACGCAGGCTCTCACCTTCAGTGGAAGTCTGGAATTCTCAAAGATCTTTGCAATGGCAGAGAAAATACCACACATGAGTGCAGAAATCAACATCATCACTCCAGCTGCTGTTAACCAGGACATACTGCAGAAATAGCATAAACTTTCTGCCGATGTGCATACAATGACATGAACTGCGCACAGCATCAGACACATCAAGTAAAACAGCAGCGAGAACAATGGAGGGGAGAGGGGCACTTCAAATTCTGCCCGGCTGCTCAGGGCTTTTGGAACACTGAGCAAAAGCAGCAGCAGAACCTAGAAAAAAATAGAGAATTAATACTTAAAGAATTGGAGTTAGCTAAAGTATACAGTGAAAAAGCACACAGGAAGTCATACTGTTATCATCCATGTCACTCTGCTAGTATACATACTTCATGAAAAAAAACTGTGAAGAACTAGGCTGGATCTTTTGTTCCCAGTAAGATATTACCGTATAAATGGGAGAATCAAAGATTGCGTCTCAGTTTATTAAGGGCTTAGACACAAAAGTTACCAGAGTTTAATAAATTACCATGCGGTTCCTCACCTGTGGTAACTCATCACATGCATGATCTTCATTCACTGCAAAAGTAAGAGCTTTAACTCCCAACATCAAATAGTTCCTAAGCAAACAAGTTTGACCCATTATTTGCCGCCTGTAAATGCCTAAAGTTAAATACACACTCTGCCAAAGGCAATTTATCTCACAGTATGTGAGATACACATACACAGAGATCCTGCTGAGTTAAATAGCTTCCTAGACCAGGGAAAGTTCTCATACTATCACATAGGTGTATGCAGCATTTCAAACTTACCACTTCTCCCAGTATTTACTTCTTGTACCTCTCCTCATACTAATTTGATTTATTGGTTTTCCTTTTGCTTTGCTCTAACCTGGACCCAGATCAGGCAAAATTCCAAGTTTCCTCTCAGGTAACTCTAGCAGTGGAGATGAATAATATCACAAATAATTTCTGCTACCCATGTACAAACCCTTACAAGTAAAGGGAAAATTCAGCCACATGCTAAAATGCTTTGCAAGGGGACAGGTGCAGCAAGGAATGGACTGAGCTAAATCAGCTTGTGCTAGGGCAAAATGAAAGCAAATGAAGATAAATCAACTATATCAGACCATTGCCAACCTGTAATCTTTCACCGTCACTTGCAGAACACCTCTGCCTAAAATTTTTCCCACAATACAGTAAGGTATAGTAAAGTAGACGAAAAAAATCCAATGCATTGCAGTAGTCTTCCTTCTTCTTCATATTCTACTTCATACAGTTCACTTGGTTATGAAAATACAAGGTTTCACAGTATCAAATTGGCTTAGGTCTTAGCTTTTAACATAGCACTTACAATTAAAACAAAGACAGCATTCAACGATAAGAAAATAATTGAATTGTAGTTATCTACAAATCTAAATTTAGCTCTTTTGAGGAAACACACTGTTATCAATTCATGTCCCCAAGGTATTCTCCTCATCTGAAACACAGGATATATGGAATTTACAGCATGGTGTAGTTTGAAATCACCTGTGAGATTCCCTACCCTTATTCATTCAGTGAGGGTGGAAAATACATATCAAGACAAAAAGATTTTGGAAAGCAACACAGTTTCTTGAGTACTGCACTGCAGAAAAGAAAAAACTCCAGCAATTTTGCACCAAGTCTTACAATGGTGCTGAGCAAGCTCTTCTCAATCAAAATTTTCATGGTTTGTAGCTGCATATTTCTTTTAATGAAGGCCCACTGAGTAAAACACCTGAGATCTGTTTTGTAGAAACAATAAGCACCTACAACTGCATTCCAGGAAAAAAAAAGAAAATCCAGTGATTCAAATCCAAAGTAACTGTCAAGAGCTTGAATGTATAGGTTCCCAAAACAAAGGAACAAAAAAGAAATACAAGCACTTCAGTTTCACGCTGAGCTTTGTTCACCTCCACATTTGCCATCTGTACAGCATGAACAGAACCTATCATCTCATCTCCCAAGGGCACTGCAGAACTAATTCCTGTGAAGTGGTCCACAGAGTGATAAACTCCACTGAGCAGTCTACCAGAAAGCCATTTCAGATGTACTCTCTACCCAGAGAACAGTGCATAGGAGACAAGGCACAAAGCCCTGCCAGGACAAAGAAGACTCAAGTCCTAAATGGTTGCTTGCGTACTGCTACCCATTCCAGGCACTGAACAGGACCAGCGCTACAGCAATTGCACAGTCTTGTACAGCACCGCACACATGCAAGGACTAAATTAAGCTTGTCGTAGGTATTTCCATCCTAGGGAACAATGGTTATTACAAAAGGTGACACTCATGTCATCAGGTCAGTGCAAGCTTCTGTACATAAAAACTTCGGTGTCCAGGCATGGTATCCTTTCAGCATGGTTCTCAAAGCATTACTAGAGAGGGTAGTTCCAGCATTTGAGATTTGCCCAAAATATCAATTGCAGAGAAACACTTAAAATTCCAGACATGGGATATCTTATCTTTACTCCCACATGAGATACCAAGCGGCAACCCAGCACCTTACAGCAAGTATTTATTTCAGGGCTCTACACCTATCAGTACAAAGAATAATTCCTGGAATTGTGAAAATTGCCCACACAAGGTATTGCCTGTTCTCAGCAGCAATGGTCACTGTTAGATAAAGAGGAACAGGTAGGAACTTACTTGTCAGACTGGTTTTTTGGGTTTTGTTGTGTTTTTTTTCTTCTTTAATACAGTAAGGCTACTCAAAAAGTAGAAGGTTAACTAACACGGGAGTAATTTAAGTTGTAACACATCTGCATATTTACTGTAACTAGTTACAACAAAACATAAGTAGCTTATATCAAAAGCTCTCTTGAATCACTTTAAGGGCCAAGTTATACTTTAGAAAGAGTAGCAGCCTCATCCAAGCAGAAAGTCAGCCGACTCTAAGAGTTCATACTTGGTAATTCTAAAGACCAGTAACAGTATACACTAAGTAGTCAAAATCCAGAAACTTTTATGTTTGTGCACTTAGCCTTTTCACAGAAAGATGTATTTTCTTACCTCCATAATGATCACAGTCCCCACCATCATTGAATACACATCATACTGTGCCACTTGTTTGCTTAGTGAAGAACTCAGAGTCTTCAGAGCCTCCAAGTATTGCTTCAGGACCTTTTTGCCAAGATTTAAGAGTATTTCTGAATTATTCCCCTCTAAATACAGTTTGATCCAATTACCATGGGACTTTTCTGCCATCTTAAAATGTTCATATCCAGGATCTAAGGGGGGGAGGGAAAAAAAGATAAGAGGATCCATGAACAAAGGAGGATTAATTAGAGGTGTGATCATATTTTTATATTTGCTTGTATAGTATAAAAAAAAAATTGCTATGAGGGTTGAAACTTTTTTCACGTCTAGAAAGTTACATTATCTTCCTGCAGCAAGACCATAATGACCCAGTTACTCAGAATAAAAGCAATTAATCCCTAACCTGATAAAATGTCAAGACCTCTAAAAGCGACAAACATCTTAAAACATCCATTTACTCTTACAAAAGGTTTTGAGGAAAAACTTATTCAAATGCTTTAAATCCTGAAAAAAACGTAATCTTTTCCACTGGAGCCACTCATTATCCAGGCCACACTGTGCAAGCCAAGTCAGAAATGATGAAATAGCTGATCTCTGGAAGAAACACCAAAGGACACACATGCCATATTAGGGACCTCGATTTCACTGCAAAGTTAGTGCGAGTCATTTGGTAACATGAAGTTAAACACACAGGATGTGAGATTTTGAAGCAGTAATACAAAAGTTAACAGCTTGTTAACTTGTTAAGTGCACGGTTTGGCTGCAGGCATTTGGACTATGAAGCTGGTGCAAAGCAATTCTCGGCAGTGAAAATCAGTAATTCTGCTATAGAGTAACAATGGCCTGCAGTCTAACTAGATTAAAAAAGAGAAAACTTGAGGCTGCCACCAACCTAGGGAAGCAAGACTCTTGTGGCAGAAGGTGATTTCATGATGGCCTATCTACACCTAAAAAAATTCTGATGTCAAGAAAAATAAACAAACAACTGAACAAAACCAAATAATAAATTAAGAAAAACTTATGAAAAAACCCACCCCCCAGGACACATATCTGTTGTCTCTATCTAGGTAACATTTTCTTGTAGAAATGTAGTTTTGATTGAGTCTTCTGATAAATATATGTGTCAACGGGACTGCAGGTGAATATTGACAAGACACAGGAAGACTGTGGTCTGCTTTCAGAACTGGGGATGAGGACAAGACTATCACTACACTATGTCCCTAAAGGAAGTAATTTCAAACCAACCATTGAATTCTGTGGGTTCAGGTTTTAATGTGAGTATGCATCTTAATACAGGTACACAGACATCACAGTTTCTTTTCTTTCCCTCTTATGCTGTAGAAACACATCTGCATTACTCTGTTCTCTCTACGTTTATTTTAAAAGCTTGAGTGGGGACAACAGGAGACACAGGAAAGAAGTAAACAGCCAAATCCTACATTTTAGAAGTCCTTTGCAAGCACAGCAGCAGTAGCTTTTCTCCTACCTGTATTTCCTTCCCCTCACTGGTTCTCCTTACTTTACACCAACTGTTCTGGTTCATACACGCCAAAGGGTAGGTGTGGAGAGACAATGATTCAAGTCGACTCAAAGGACACATGAAAGTACGATTTTATCCTCCCATTAACTACCATTGATTTTCATCATCAACTTTCCCATTACTAAACATTTGCACAAAAAGATGAATCTCAATAGCCTTTTTACTTCCCAAAAAGATATATTCAGCAGTGACAACAACCACATTCCACAGGCAAAACCAGAAGAGCATCATTTTGTTCACACAAGGAAAAAAATGAAAACACTCACCAGAAGCACAAAGGTAAAAAAAAATTAAAACAATTTCTGCCAAAATTATTATTGTGGGTCCCATGTGCACCTCAAGAGCATTCTATTTACTTCACGTAAGTTTAATTTCAAGAGCATTTATTTAAAATAGAACAATCAGATCAGCTCCTGTGTTTTACTGTAAATTTGGAAAATGGTGTTGTTCCTGAAAGAACATAAGGCATATTTTCCCTCTTCATTTTATAGCTGCATCATCCCATACGCCAACATGCCATATGATACTTAAAATATTGGTCACTGAGTAGTGTATGCAATCACAACATAAATACAGTTGACAAGATAAGGAAAGGAAGAGCTTCTCACTGGACTTTATGCTACGTGTGGACATTCACATATCTCTATATTTTTTGCAAGAAATAAATGTTTAGTTTCACTTCACATCATTAATCCTTGCTATTTCCCTGCGATTTCACTTGAAAGTTAATGATGACTTAAGGGCAAAAAGGCCAATTTGGAAATTTTTCTATAACGAGCCTACCATTGTCTTCCCATCTTGCAATCCTTACCTTCTTAGCTAAAAGTAAGGCAGAATATTTGTTGTACAGTTTCAGATGACAAGGGTTAAAGCAATAACTGAAGTAAGGTCAGTGTCACAGAGACTTAAGTTACAGCTCATTTCTACTCCTGGTAGATCAACAATGTTTCAGACTTGGAAAAAATCCACCATGTTCTTTGTTAAGCCTTTGCAGCAAAAGCACATTATTAAACCTAGAAACATTTGTAATTTTATTTCAAGTGAATGAAGACGAATGAAGTATTTCTATTCACAATTCTTGTACAGTTATGAAAGAATTGTTCTTACCATTTGTAAGTCTCTTATCACTACAAGACACTTTGTGATCTACTACAGGCTGAATTCAAAGTGAGAATTTTAAAAAGCAATGTTTAACGCAGAATGTCCAGTCTGGTCTCCAAAGACTTCTAACACACTCCAAAACACGCTGATCCTTCTACGCAGGAGGCAGGCATCTGCTAGAAAGTACAATTCAGTCAGCAGCAAACACTTGTATATCGAGATAGCTGCCAGTGAGCATGGAGACTTTCATTTCCTTATCATAGTTCTTTGAACAGTGAATTCCCTAGAAAGTTCCTCTTCCAGTATATTTGAAATAAGAGTTAAATATTCATACTTTTGAGGAAATCCAGAAGGATCATCTAAAATGAGCTTTAATCAAAGTGAGATTTGACATGACACTATTTCATTAAATAGAACATTCAAATGAGTTCAAGTTATAACTTGAAATTCAAGTAAATTCTCTCCACATCTTCAGCTCCTGTTCTGTTTCCTTTCTATGCTTTTTGCGCAGTCTCCCTCTTTGTTCCTTTTAGCCTTTTTATTTCATTCTCCTCTACCTCTTTGCACGCTAGTGCCCACCAAAGCCATTCTGTCCATGTTAAGAAACATGATTGTTTTAGTCAAACCCTCATTTATGTCTTTGATATAGGTTAAGTGAATGATTTAAAGATCCTACAGAAAGGAATAAAGGACCACGGTTACCAAATTTCCTTTGAGAACTCCAGTGATACCTGTTCAATGGCACATTTGTATGCCATAAGTATAAAATGAGAAGGGTCATAGACTCCAGGCTGTTGGAGAAGCATTTTGGTAACTGGTGGGTAACATGTGCAAGTCACTCCTGCACGGGATACTCACAAGACAAGTTAAACTTGAGGCAAAATCCAAAGCAAGCTTTCCCAGTTACAGGTTTCCCAAAGCACTGGCAATGGTTTACTTGCACAGTGTTACATTAGCAATTTCTGCTTCAGTCTCCCTCCAATATTATCACAAGCAAATGGCTATGCTTCCCAAGCATCTGTTTGATAACAATTTCACTTAGTTCCAGTCACAGGCCGTATTATTAAAAAAATAAAGAAAGAAAGAATAGATAACGTAAAAGTGAATTCTCCAGTATCAATATACAAATCTCCCAGTAACAATCAAATCATTTCAATCAACACATGCATCTAATACAAGTTCAGGATTAGTTCCAAATTGAAAAGTGGACATTCATTTTAATAACAACATCCAACTTGCTCTGAAGCATGACTCTTCATTCCACTGTGAAGTGCCTTTCAAAGAAACAATCCTAGTTCATCATTCAGATGCATGTTCAGAACACAAGGGAAACATTACTAGATATGTACAGCTGCCTACCTTACACTGAGGTGTGAACTCACTCAGAAACCCAAAGTGTGTTTTTAGATACTTCTCCGTTCAGCTGCTTCATTTTTGCCAGCTGTTCTTACTCTCCTTTTCCAGACTTTTTTTTTACCTGCACTTGTCCATCTCTATCAAAAGAAAACCTAATGCCTCATGTTAGCATTTATTAGTATGTTTCAAAAAATTGTTTTCAAAATAATCAAGCCCATAGTTGAGCTTCAAGTTTCTCATTTAAAATTTAATTTACCTGAAGGTAGGTTTAACCCTGAAGATTCCTTTGTACCTCAATAAATCAAAACTCAAGTCCCATGAAATGCTGTACCACCTCTTGGTTTGAAAATGCATGTTTGCATGAACAAACATTGAGGGGGGGGGAAGTTACTGAGCTGCCTCCATTCTGCTCTTTATTAACAGATATACTTAAAATACACTTGAAGACAAAAATATTTTTGTGTACTGTTCTAGTTTGCTTTTAACATTGGGGTGGCTGAATCCAGGGAACTCCATGGCTTATTCAGGAAACAGCATGTAAAGGTCATTCTGCTTTCCCATCTGACTGTGATTCATCTCAATTGACAACTGACTTTATCTTTTTGCATTAAAAACAAAATGAACATTGCACCAAAAATGAATGTATACATTATGCTATAGCTTACTTACAGGTGAGTCTTTTCTTACCATGACTCAGTCAGTCACCATATTCAAGGTACTAATAGCTGCTGCCCTATCTCTGTGCTGCAAATTACAATACCCTCCGCAGGAATG